TCCTGCTGTACCCATTTTACACTCCCACAAAATGTAGCAGAATATGTGCATACCAGTAGAGAACCAGAACTCATGTACACAATACAACTATTTCTGTTTACATTATGGCTACTTACCATATTCTTGTATTCTTAAAGGAGCCTAAAAGAGGGATTTTTTATTTTTTTTTTTACATTTACACTTCTTTAAAGCTTCTTATCGCTACCTGAGTGGTGTAAAATTTAACTCCTGTAATTAAAAATCAGGTGACTCATCCCAGATAACCACATGTGGCCGTTTTATATTAGATACAGTTCCCCCAAAATTCTGGTCTCTGTCCAAACGACTTCAAGGGAAGGAGGTGCCATTCTACTTCAGAACTATCTTTTAATGTCATAGGGATTATTATTGTGTGGATAGCTCTGAGATACAGCAGTGCATAGTTACATTCCCAAAAAGAACTGCAAACAGGAAAACAGCTTGGAGTTATAATTCTTGTCCTTATCATTTTTCTCTTGGACTGAGGGAGGGAAGAGAGTATGTAATATTTCTTTTTGAAGAGCAATTTGTTCCCCTTCCCTCACACATGCACAACCAAGGGATAGCGTCATGTAAACTTGACCTGTGGGCTCCTTCCTTTTCACAGACACAAGCCTTGTTCTTGCCCTGATACTGAACTGCAATCCAAGAAGACCCAAAGTAGCCGTAGAACAGGATGTTATTGCTCCTGACTTCCCTGTATGAGGCTGTGGGGATATGTGAGCCCTTTAATTTAACACACACTGACTCTTGTGCTCTGAATGTCTGGAATAACCCATCTTCCTGTTCAGCAAGAGCAACTTTTTAACTTCAGAAAAATACTTGCCTTAGAATTCATCACAGTTGTCCACTTCCAAACTTTCAGCCCGAAAACAAATGCGTAAGGCCCTGAAGCCTTGAGCTGAAGAAATAGACAATAAATATATCTAATTTTGTTTGCCAGACTAAGGTAAGAAACCAACTGGCAGATGGAACATACATAAAGGCGCCCGATACTCTGTTGGCTAGGTTATCTATTGACTTGCAAAAATGTGTCCAACAGGTGTCTGGAGCCAAGCCACAGCCCTACTGAATCAAACAGGGACTTTCACGCAGAGATCCCTACTAGCATTAGTTATTGGGCTGCATGCGGCTCCCAGTGACAGCTTCCACTGAGCCATAAGGGAATGGTTCTGTGGCTCAGCTGAGTCTGATAAATAGCTGAAGTGTTTGGTCATTCTTTGGAGCCAAATCTACCACTTTCTACTGAAAGCCAGGGGTGGGGTGGTCCAAATCAATGTGAATCTTTCGCATGTCAAAAAAAGCTTTACTAATATATTTCCTTGCATGTATTTAGATTCTGGTAAAACTTAAAATGCCTACTGAATCATCAGTCCGAGTTAAATATCAACCACTATATCACTAGTAAGACTTACCAAGCCAACAGGCACATCTGAAAGTTTTCAAAACTGCAGGTGGAGTGAAATGGGCTGGTAAATACTGGTATTTCTGCCTAGTTGAATTAAGTTTCTAAGGAATGTTACAGGAGTTCCTCCCCCAATGCTACATTTTGTGTAAAATGTACAGTGCAGAGATAAATATGAATTAGGCTATGCAACACCAGGGGCATACAGAGGAGTTTAATTGCTTAGAACAGTGGCCTCTCACTCCATTCTGAAAGCAGCACTTAGTAGAAGGAGGTTCTGAGGAATTCCCCTGAAATATTCTTCATGGTGCAGTTGGCATGAAATTCTGCACAGGGGGATCCAGAGGGAAGGCAGTGTCAAACAGTAAACATGCCAACATGATATGCATGTCAGCCTGTTTTAGATTTTAACATAAGGGAACAGTATTGTGTATGTTTTAGGGATGAGGATAAGAATTTAACCACGAAACAAATGTCTGTAAGAGCTTGTGCTAAAGTATGAGTTCATGTAGAAGAGATACTCTGTTTCCAGACTTGAACTGTACCTGTTTTGAGGTGAGGACATTTTTTGCTTTACATGCACAGCATCTGGAAGACGTATTAGAACTTAACTAATGGCTTGACTAGAGCACACTTCTCCGTTACTCAAAATATGCACAGCAAAATGCAAATACCTATACTTCAGACAAGACAGGCATAACTCCCAGGAAACCCTGCAATAGCCACTCTGAACCTCAGCAGAATTGCCTAAGAGATGAGCCAGCCTGGAGCTGACCACAACAAAATCTACGTAGCATTCAGAAACGCCCATTTCTTAAGCATAATTTGTCCAAAGCAGAACATGTACCCCTGAGAGCCATGTGTCAGATGACTGGGACCTATTAAGTGGCTAGCTTCTAGCAGTACAGAGGATCTTATGCAAGATGCTGCGCCAGGACAAAATGAGGTCTTCTGCATAAATCTAGTGGAAATCTGAGCAAGCTGAACACTTTTTCACGGTTCGTGCAAATGCTGATTTCGGCCACTGGGTATTTTGTCAGGGAAAAAAAGATCAGTGGGTTAGGAGTCAAGTTCATCTTTAACTAGGGTTGCAAGTAGTTCATTTTCCACAGTACTCAGTTTGGACCTTCTCGAGTGCAAATATAAACAGTAATTTCACTGGGCAGAGGTGTAGGTCTTGGTGTTTCGACATTTACAAGGTCTGGAAAGGACAGAGGACATCAGTTCACTCCCAACAATTCTCTCAATGGATGGTGAGTATTTCTGGGTTTAATGTCATTCTGTATGTCCTCATCAAATGCTGGAGCCATCCATTGTTCTTTTGACCTAAACTAAAACTTCATCTTCAGTTTTTCTGAAAGATGGTATGAAAGGAAAACCTGTACAAAGTCACAGTACAACAGAAACCTATGCTGAGAATTTTAGGTTATATCTCAACTTTATCAAGGAATCACTTTGCAGGTTTTTGCCTGATAAAGAATTAATGTCTGGTGTAAGCTGATGCTGCAATTTGTTTTTTAGGGGTGAATGTGGATTGAGAGAATATTCTGAAGTTAAAACTGTGACAATAAAGATCCCTCAGAAGAACTCCTAAAACAATAAAGGACCACGTTGTGCAGAAGAGCACGTAATGCCACCCTCTCTATTCCTTATGGAGACCAGCACTCAGGAATAAAAAGTGTTACACAATATATATTTAAGAAAATAAATTGCAACATATATACTGGGCACATAACTCTGTACATAATGCAAACCAACTCTGCATGTTTCATAAAACCCTCCTAAGAATCGTTACATCTTTATAAAACAAATTGTAACGAGATAAAATTGCTATTGGGCATCATTTAGTAACGGTTCTAGATATAAAACTGTTAAATGCAAATGCATGCACACACACACCTTTATCTCTTCTTTAAATAAACAAAGTAAGTCCTACTGCTTTCAGGTTGCCTTCTCAAACAGACCTGCCTTGTACTGACATTCTAGTTCCAATCAGGGCTTTACAAGCCAGATTTTACCCAAAATGCTAGCAATGAACAACATAAGTATCATTGATGTTCTTAAAAAATAAAACACTCTGAACAGTAACAAGTCAAAAACTTGTATATTGGGAATGTTCCAGTTAGCATGCTCACATAAAGAGGTCAAACTGGGGAGGGAATCAAATCATTTTATGGACAACAAAATCCAAATACTTATCAGTGAGATTTGGCTTTCATGACCCACAGTGATTTGGTTTTCAAAGCTTATTTTCATAATTACTTTATGTCTTGCTATAAGCAAAAATCCTCCCTCACTTACAGGAACTTGAAAGGTTTTACCTGCCTGCCAAAAAAGCATGGCCAGATGGGGTGGGAGGGTGTGAAGGAGAACAGGAACAGATTCCCAGGCTTCACAGAATATTTCAGCTTTCACTGCTTGTCTAGTTTTTTTGTTATTGTTGCTGTTGTTGTTTTCACTTTTTCTCTTTTTTTAAACAAGTGTATGCACACGCAGACTCCATTTATTTGTCTGCTATTAAACTGCCTGTGATTACACTAGGAATTCTTAAGTATTCATTACAGCTGGAAGAACTCAGCAAAAGCTCACCTGACAAAAAGTAAGCTTCACTTTATTTTCTTACTACATCATGGCTTGCCATCCTCATCATGCCTGTGAGCCTCAGGTGAGCTTACTGCCTGGTACTGACTTTTCAATTATGTCTGTTCTTTTTTTGGCCCAGGACAAAAATATAAGCAAGTTCTTTCAGAAGTGTTTAAAACTTGTCACATTATTACCTGCTGCCTCCAGAATCTCTTCTAACTTGTAACTAACAGACTAAACACCATCTCTTTCTTCTTTCCAGCTGCAGAGCTCATTGATTCCCCAGACTTTTTTAAAGAGGTTTCATTTTATGTTTTAACTTAGAATTAGGAAAATTTATTTTAAAGTTACAGTAAATCACCTACACTGTGTAGCTACATTATCTCTGGTGTAAGGACAGGATTATGGCCTCAGGTGTAACAGTTTTCCTAGCTGCAGAGTCTATACTATGAACTGTTGAAAACTCCAGACCTGATCAGCAAATCATTTCTGCCCGTTCTTAACTTCCTTCACTCTCTGAGAAATTCCTCTTAGATTTGAAGTTGTATGTGTCCTTAAACATACTGCTGGATCAGGACAAGAGTATCCAGCACTTTGTAGTGCGGTGGCCCTCAATATTTTGTATTTCTAACTCATGTCAAACTGTGTATGTGTTTTTAAAGCAGTATGTATACATGATGTTATTCAGAAATGACAGTACATTCACAGACATGGAGATGAATCAAAATATTCCTGAGTTGTTAAATGCAAATGCCATATACTTCTACTGTAGTGTATGTCAGAGTGAAGAAAAACAAGAAACAGCAAATAAGAGATTAGTTATCTTTTAAACTGCAATATAAAACTTGAAAAAGGAGATTTTACTCCTTTTCTCCTATTTACTTAAAAAAAGAAATTTCCTGTGCTAACAGCATTTACACCATGTACTCTTTTGTATTCCTTTTGTGTATTTTGTATGTCTGTGCTTTATTCCCAGTACATTCAGGTAAATAATGTAGAGGTGCCATTTTTTTCAACTCTGTCACTGCAGCTCCATTTGATGTACATGGATTTGTGAAATCCTTCTTTAAATGTACCATCTGCATGGATCCAACAACATTTTTCCAGTCCCTGCAGCTTTTTGTTACAGTTTTTAATCATGTATATAGTTATATGTTATTAAAAAGTAAAAGGATATTTTCTATGAAGTTTTTTCCATTAAAAAGGTTTAGAGAAAGACTTTAGACTGTAAGACTCCTTTATTGTTGACAGAGCTATAAAAATATTTAAAAAAATATTTTCTTAGCAAAAGATCTGCTCTCACAGTAGCTTTATTTTCATTTGCAAAAGTGAATGAAGTAAAAGGCCAATTACATTTTCTGGAATATTATTGCAGCTGTATGAAAAACACTTGTGAATTGCAGATCTAGGTCATAGCCAAAGTTCATCCTCACCCTCATGGTCATAAAGTTTAGCTATTGAGGAAGGTCTGAAATCATCAGAAACAGTGGGGCACCCTTGCAAACTGCTGCATCACAGCTTGAGTTTTGGATAATGCTTAAAAAAATCATGATGCCTTTTCTTTCTCTACTAGATGAGTCACAGAGATGATTAAATTAACACTCAGATCTTTTATGGAGTGATATTCTACTTGTCTTTAATTTCGAAATGCTAAAACAGGGGAAAAGGACAGACTGAATGTTATTTGACAGCCAGTAAAATTCACATAGCCAGGTACTATACAACCCTCCCTCAAGCAATCCCTTTATTCCAGGGTTACGTTCATTGCCAGGAACAGCATTCCTCTTTTGAAATGGTGCCTATTTAGATAAAGTGACTACTCAGTTAGTAAGGCCAAGCTACTCTGCTGTATGGCAAGCAATGGTTATATCTCAGTGTTACAGAACAATACTGTTGGTTTAATCAACACTCTACAGGCAATCCCAATAGATAAAGTAACTTGACTAAAACAGGTGGGATAAAAGAGAATAAAACTTAATAATAGGCATGAAATTGCATTCTCAAAAAGGAGTACTGTTCCTGAAAGTCTAGGATATCAGGAATACATTAAGCAGAGTTTCATTTCTGTTTAACTAGTGGCATGGTTAACACTCTGTCTTGGGACTGTGAGTGCTAATTAGCATTTTCCATATTCCCTTTCTCTCTGACCTGCTTGCAACCTGTCTCAGCACTCCAAGCAGTCACATAGGCACAAGCAATGGAGTGCTTTTCTGAAAGCAAAATGAAGGAAGGAAGGTTGTTCTGGAACCCATTGAAAACAAGGGGTATTGTCATCTAATAAAATGAGCGAAGTTCAGTCCATAGTAAATAAGCACTCCGTGGAGCCCCAGCCAGTGAAAGTAAATGTATTAATAAATGTGTATATAGGTGTAGTAAAAGGAGAGTTTGGAAGTAACTGTGCATTTCTTCTGGGAAAAGGATGTGAAGAAAGGCAAAAAGAATTTCAGTTCTGTGGCCTTGAGACAAAGCGATGGATACTGACACTACTGGAATCGTGTTTACACATTTGTTGGTGCTCTTGTCACAGAGAACGCTTTCTCTTCCTCCCCACAGAGGCCAGGATGAAAAAGCTTGCCTTGCATATGCAGAGGCACTCTGTTACAGTGCCCTCTTATTTCTCAGTTCTGTCCTGGAACAAAGAGAACCCATAATAACACTGAATTCAGGGTACCAATTTAGCTAGAGAGGAAGTCAAAGACAAGCAATACACTGTACTGTCTACTTACGACTATCCACATGGTCACATCTAGAGCTCTGGAGAGCTACATTTACAACCACCTTACATTTGCATTCATACATCTCCATTTACTGCATGCTAAGTCCATCAACGCAGGAAGTTATTTTTCTCATAACAACTTCGTACCACAATGACTGATATTCACAGTGCTGTATCTACCAGGAAGCAGGAAAAGCCTCTGTGGTCATTATGCCATCAGCATTCCCAACCCATTCAAACAGACTTCTCTCAGCACATTAGACTACAGTTGCATAAAACGTATCTTTCCTCCTCGTCCTTGTTAAACACATAGTTGATCAATCCTTCCTGTATCTTCACTGTATCTTCTGTGTCCACTGACAGCGCACAGGTATTAGAGAACTATGTGTGGCTCTGCCAGAAAGCTCAGAACTTCTGACACAAAGTGGGGGACTTTAGCATGAAGTTGGGCCATTTATAAGGATAGATTAGGCTGACGTGAGAGTAGTGGCATAATTTCATGTGACTAAAGTGTGGCTAGAATACGCTACTACTAGGGCTTGGGGTCCTACTTTCCTCTTCCACACAGCACAATGTGGAGTGCTGGGATGCTGGTTTCAATAAGCACTTGCCTGATTTTTCTCAGAGGACCAGAATTGACATGCTGGAATTCAAGGTTAACACAAGCAACAGATTATAACAGCTGGCTGCAGTGCAAGTTCAGTCATTTTAGTGGTGAAGAGCAGGTTAAGCTGTCTGTGTAGCCACAGCTGCTACACTGGCGCTACTCAGCGCCAACTGCTTCATTATCTAAGACTGAGGCCTAGAGGCTGTGCAGACACATACGACTGAGAATCTGTCCCAAAGACAGTGAGTACAGGTACAAGGGTGACTTGCCTCTTGGTACAACTGGGATAAGGCACCAGAGCTGTTGCATAATGTCTCTAATCCCCTTATCTTAGTGTTAGAGGGGGAGAAAAAGCACATCTCCAACCATAATGATTCTATGATCTACATGCCCCTGGTTTGTAAGGAGTTTGTAGCGAGGTGGGGATCGGTCTCTTCTCCCTGGTAACTAGCAACGGGACAAGAGGGAACAGCCTCAAGTTGCGCCAGGGGAGGTTCAGGTTGGATATTAGGAAGAACTTCACTGTAAGAGTTGTTAGGCATTGGAACAAGGTTGGACTTGATGATCTTTGAGGTCTCTTCCAACCATAACAATTCTATGATTCTAAAACAGTTTAGCCAGCTGAGTTTAAATCCTGAACCCTCACTAAAAGCCAGCCTCATCCTCCTAGCACAGGTGCCTAGAGCCCAGTCGCACCATAAAGACCACAACTATTTTTTCTGCTATCAACAAACTTAAATCCACTCAAGCCACTACTGAAAAGAGGGACTGCACGCACGATCCACTGCTTCCCTATGGTGAGCATTTGCACTGTTCCTTTTCATGGGTTTACAGGATGAGTTTCATCAAACAGCAGAGGCTGTCCTGTACACAGCACATACATTTTTGGCTGTGCCTGCAGTGCCAGGAAGCACTCCAGGGAACATTATTTCACCCAATTTCAGGTGACATCTATAAACACACTATAAACACATGCCATCAGCTGTAATGCCCTTACGTCTGCAATGCCCAGGAAGGCTGGGACATCTGCCAGGACAATTTTCCTTAAGGCTAGATGAAGTCTGCATTATTGATATGTTTCCTAGTGCATTACTGTAACCACTCCTTGTATTGTCATTTAATCCTAGTATCAAACATCAAATCCTGCAATTCCAGGCTGGTTTTGAGGTGCTTTTATCTGCCTGGAGCCTCTTGACGAGACCTGCTAAATAAATCTGGATTGTGCAACCACAACAGCAACAGACTGTAAGAAAAGTTCCAGCTGCAGAGGTTGCCAAGGAGGCTGTGCACACAGCAGGCTGAAGTAACCCAAAAGGGTGCTTGTGAAATGTTTGTGCTGCTGGCAGGCAGCATACTGCCAGGACAGATCACACATCATGCATTTGCACATCAAATGAAGCTGCACTGGTATGAGAGCATGGGAAAGGCCTGTCTTGAACGGCATGTGTCCTACTTCCTAAACATGTATATTTTACACTTTACACTTGGTTATTGGCCAGATTGAAAGTACCGCAAGTTCCCCAAAGCTTGTCGTTTTGCCTTTGAAGTAGAACTGTTTGGATAATGTTTCCTTTGGCAATTTATCTATGTAACAAAGCAGGAACTTAGCTGCACTGGCCTCTCAACAATCCACCACTAGCTTTTGTTGAAGTATTCATGCGTTTGTGTATAAGCACTCACACAGAATTTGATCATTTTTCATGACCTTGCTTAGCCCCTCTCCTTCTCCCTTATGGTTCCTCATGATGAGGTTGGTGTAACTTGCGCTAATATTAACTCGCTTTATTTTGGGGGTTTTCCCTGCTCTTTGTACACCTGGCTGAGTTCCCATTGCCTACAGCAACTTAATTAGCAAGACATTTGTGTGCAGCTCACTCTTGCTGCCAAACAAAAAGAAAATGCATTTCCACTGCTTCCCCTGGCAAAAGGGCTCTAGCTCATGGTCCACTGGTTTTCTCAGACTCTCCTGGGACCACAAGATGGGACATAGAGCAGGATCTCTTGAGAAGTTTCTGCTGTCTCCTGCTTTCTATTGGTCCAAAATCTCTCACTCACTGTTTGGCACTTGACACCCAATCTCAAAGCACAGTCAGTGCCTGGCAAGAGAAGCCTGCTTTTAGTTTTTAATTTTGAACTTCATAAATGCTCAGGTTTCTGGGAGGATGCTGAATGGAAAGGTACTCCTCGCTCCCACCAAGAAACTGCAGATTAAGGACAATGGCTAAAGCATCCCCCTTGCGTCTGATGGTCCGACCACTAATCCGAACTCCCAGCTCTTTCATTCACCATGAGTGTGGGTCTCACTGAGAGCTGGCTGGTGAGATGTCCTACCCCCAGGCTGTACAGCTACGGGGACTAAGCAGGCAGCCTTTATTCAAAGCAAGCATTCCAAAAAGTCCAGAAAAGTTACCAAATACTCTTCAGCCTTATTCTTCCAGCATCTTGTGCATATTCTCTTTTAAATATAACCTG